TTTTAAACTGTGGTTAACATTTACTTCAATTAAATGAACCAAACGCAGCTATTTTATTTCTCAAAGGTTTCTTTTAGTTTATTATTAATACGTCGATTGCTTGAATAGAGAGAAACTTCCTCAAGCAGCCAGGACTTAAAGTTTGTGTAATACCGATGTAGGATGCTTGTTTGTTCTTCTTTTTAACTTCAGTGCTTGCCATAGAGCTCTCAAATGACAGACTTACCTTAATGACTCTTACTCCTGACTCTGATTTTTTTTACGGTGACTCTTGGAGGATTTTATTTCCTTCAAGAGTTACAGTTAATCTTAAAGTTATAAAAGGCTTGTCCATGTTTTTGAGTGTTTCAGTCCATTACCAAAATACAAAAAAAACACATTGTATCACAAAGCACTTCATTCATAGGGTTGGAAAATGATCAAATTTAACTCACACAGACTTCTGTGACTAAGGGGACATGGAAAGTTAGCTTTGATTTTTATACAAAGAGATGTTCAATCTTGAATCTGCAGTGCAGGACAGACACCATGTCAACACTATAAATAACTTCTTGTAACTCTGTATTTTGAATTACTGTACAGGCTGGCCTGTTACCAGAGGGAGGCACAGTTCATTACAAATGTAACTCTGTTAACAATTGATCTGTTAACAAAGATGTTCACTTCAATGTCAGTTAAACAGTTAATACCATCAATATTTAACTGAGGTTAAAATGAACATAAACTGTTATTATCAATAAACAACAAAAACATGAATTAATCCACCTTAAAGTTATCCATATTCTCAATCATACAGGCAAACCTATTTGGAAGTAACCTCTGATGTCAACCTTATGTCCTGTGTCACACTGTTTCAAGGCACTGCCTTAATTTTTAAACTGGTCTGAGGCTAGTGACTAACATGTCTGAGGTAGAAACCAAAGCTCCTTAGGAAGCAACTAACCCAATATGTGTTGTTTGGTGCAGGATTTGGTCTAGTTGATTTTGAGTATGTAGTAAGTACGTAAGTGCAAAGTTAACATGACCCATAAAGCCGCATATGGTTTATAGGTATTTGAAAACACTTAAGTTGCTAGAAAAAGTATTTTAAAACAATCTGGTGTATTGCGTATTTGTTCCTTCATTAAAATGAAAAAACTTCCATAAAGCCATCATAAATCATCTAGTATATAGGTCCTGTATGTATGTATGAATGACTATCAGCAATATATCCCAGCATGTCAAAATAAATCTGCCTTGCAAATCTTCTCTCCTTGGCAAGACAAGACCCTCCCTCCTTCTTTGTAGTTTTTGTATCTTTACATTGAAAATTTGTTTCCCAAGGACATTGTCATAAACTTTGAGTTTCTGAGATTTTTACCTGCCAGTGCTGCACTCCTGACCTGAACACATTTGGGAGGTTGATGGAGATGAGGAATCATGGGTGCTAAAAGGGATGGGAGGGGGATACATGTACAAGCACTGTTGAATGACAATTTGTTATCCTTCGTTACACAGACAGAAAAGTGGAACAGCTAACACAATGTGCATTTGCTTGTGTTGGGATTGCAGTACTGTAGAGTGCCAAACACAGCATCTATGAAGCCAGGATGATGAATTCCTACAATGAAAGCAAATTTGATTGCTACTTAGTGTCACAAAAAAAAAAGTTTAAATAGTTTGACTACAGTTTGCTAAATGTCAGCACAAGAAATCTAAACAGTGTGTGAGTGTAAGAGTTTGTGTGTAGAAATTAGAAAGGGCATCACTGCACATTGCACAACAAATCTTATTGTATAGGTTTTTTGGTACGACTAAACAAATGCAGCATAAGATCTATTAGCCCCTAATTTTTATTCCCAACGCTAGGAAGTAAATAAAAATGATGTATATTTGCTCACCCTAAACATTCTTGAATACCTATCCTGCTTTGCTGTCTCTTCATTCTCTCTGCTTTAGCCTGATTGACTCAGAACTATAGATATGTGATTGTAATTCATTTAATGGTTAAAGCATATATGGCAGGGCCAGTTCCTCTGAAGCAGAGTTCAGACAGAAAAACTTTGAGCCCCGTCTATCAAAATCAATCCCATGAACAAAATAAAACATCAGTTATTGCTGGTTTCATATTGTTTGGTTAGCTGCCTCAAATGTACTTCAACACAACAATTGCTGCTGAAGGGACACAGGCTCAATCCTGAAAGGTACAAGTACAACCATCAACATTTCTGTATTCTGTCTAAAGGACCCTTTTATAGACAACAACCTCTTACTTCCTCATTCACTTGGCTCAACAAGTAACAACCCACTTATAAATTGTGCTTCTTGGAACTGAACAGATCTGTCAATCTAAATAGACCAGCTTAAAGAACTTTTTAAATTGAGGTAACTATAATCTTCAATGAGTTTTACGTTTTCCATAAGAAAGCTATTCAGTAGACACCCTTCCACAAACAAAGGAGTAAAGCTTTCATTACAAGTATTTAATACACTGAGTTGATGCTTTCATGAAGCATTAGTCACAAGGACAGCAGAGATGGACAAGGTACATTTTAAAAATAAAGATAAACTCATATCGATCAGAACTGCACACACGTTAAAACAGCATCTGTTTCTTTATTGTATTTTGGCCAAGTTTTTAGATTATATCGACCCCTGCTTTAGAATCGTGCTTCCTCAGACAGAGCCCTCAGGATTAGAAGATAAGATGTACCACCCTAGTTAACATCAAGATATACTATTTTCTGTCTTGTGTTGAAGCATCGCACATCTCTCTGGGGTGATAATGTTTTGGTCAAACACAATATTTGTTGGCTTTAACTTTTTAAACATACAATTGTTCCCTAATTAGCTGGCTGCTAATTAATTTATGCTCCCCTGTTTGATGTACAGTGAAGCAATACTTTGAAAGCAACAGCGTTTATTCTGTGCATAAATTTGTAGCATTTGCCGCCGAGTTCAAAAGAAACAGGACTGAATTTAGAAAAGCACACATGCATTTAAATAATGCAACCCATTTTTTGTCTGTTTGTTTTTAGTGGGAATATTAATGAATTAACATTTTAAACAATCTATCATCATTGTTGTGCTGCCACTTATTTTTAACTAAATTATATTGTAATAGATCACTTTTCCTAATGTGCACAGTACGTTCGCCCCACTTTGTTCCTTACACAACAAAAGATTAATTACAAATAAGATGAATGATCAAAAACATGATAATCAAATTGCAACAGTAAGTAGGAAATTGCAATTCTAATGCAATACAATAGGGTATGTGTTTGAAATGAACCTCCCACTGTCTTATTATATGTGAGTGTCAGCTGAAAACAGAATATCACAACAGTATGCTTTCCCTCACATGATAAACTCTATGAACAAGACTTTCTGCTCTTTAATGTTTTTTAATATTGTATTAATTAGTAAGTCCTATATTACCTTACAGTGACCTTATTTCTTTGTTGCCTTTGTTTGTTTATTTAAAATTAACCACTTTCTGTTTACGGTAAGAAGTGAGATAAAACTACTGGTCTGAGATCTCAGCTTGATATTCCTTGCTATGCCCGTTGTCTCTAGCCTGTCAGAGAGCAGACGAGTTGTCATTTTAAACAGGATGGATGTCCGTATGTGTCACATGACAGCCCGACAGGGCAATTCAGTCCCTGGAGGACAGGAGAGCAGCTAGTAGGAGGTGAATGGACAGTAGTTTGGGCTAGAGGTCGTCGTTGTCGGCCATCGCCAGCCTGTCACTCTGAATGGGCCCCCAAATCATGTTGTCAATGGTGATGCATCGAGATCTCACTCTGGCCAAAATTGGATGTTCCAAACTCAACTTGATTGATGCATTGACCAGGTTGTGTCTGCCATCCTCAAGATGTGTCCTTACCCTTGTTTAAAGATGAAGCAACACAGACACACTCCGAGTGCTGAAAAGAAGAGATTTACTTCTAAAAGTTTTTTTGTTGTGGTGAAAGACCCACATTGACATAGTGTGGACTTGTCAAAGAATCTGCCGTATCTAACATCCTTGAAATATATAGGATTTTACCTGCCATTTAATTTTTTTCTGTACATCTTTTCTCTTCTTTTTTAGTGGGAGAGTTCAATTGGTGCTTAGAGAATGTTTCTCACTGTTTCCTTTGAGCTGACGGTATTCGTTATGGCCTGAAGGCGAATGCACAGCTTGTACATTCAATGGATACACAATGGATTGGAATGAAAAATATCTGTTTTTCTGTGACCAAAAGTGCAGCCTTTATGCCTCCAAGGGCATGGCATTCTTGCGCTCTGTGTACTAGCCGTGCAGTTTTGTGAACATGAAATATCTTCTTTTATGTGTCATTTTTTTCATTATGTTCCCTGTGTCTCTCTCTTTCTCCGCTCTCCTCGAATGGTTTTCCTTGATAGCTTCGTCTGGCCTGAGTTGCTCTCTTTATGTGCGCCAGTGTGTGTCTTTTAATCATTTTTTGTGCTCTTATTGTCTTTTCTCCTTCATAATTTCTCTATCTGTGTCTGTTGCAAATGTTTTCAATGTTCGGTGTGCCTGTGTTTGAGTGTGGGCTTGAACTCGTGTTTTTACATGGGTTTGTTGGTACTCGAGCATATATATGTGTGTTTCTGTGTCTAACGACACAGACTGAACACACACACTTGAGATTTTCTATTTCGACAAAGCTGTGTGGAACCTTGGATTTGAGCCTTTGATGGCTTAGTGGGGGCTGGAACGAGGAGCATGAGTATTGTTGATGAAACAAACACAAGCTGAGCCTCAGTGAGGTGGCCCAGTTTGAGAAGTTGTACTCTCAATTCCTCCTTTTCATAATTCTCACTCCAGTCTCCCTCAGCTCTGTGTAGCTGGAATTTAGTTTACGAATCAACCTAGCCCGCTTCATGTCACTGTACTTATTACATTTCATGTTTTGTTTTTAAACGGTGGGTAAGAAAGAAAACAACTGTAACAACTTTGTCTACCTCTCTTTCTCTCTCTCTCTCTCTCTCTCTTTCTTTGTCTGTTTTTGCAGGGCCTCTTCATCTTCCTGATATATGGGGTGTACAACACAGAGGTAAGTCTGCATTGTGTCTCAAGGCTGTCGGAGAGAAATGACAAGTTTCTGATGGGCTTTCTGCCTAAAAGCTGAGTGGGTGGGGTGTGGGGGGTTTGAGTGTGTATGTGTGTGAAGGTGCGTCTGTGGATGGGTGGAGGGATGAGTGTGAGGGAGGGGGACATCGTTTCCACGCGAGCGTCCCACTGCCCTTCATGCTTGGACTAACTTATATGCATCCGAGTCTGACCATTAAACACTGACACGCCGCAGTTCTCAGCCACTCATTCCTCACCTACATTGGCTAATATTTCACTGCCTCTTTAAGTTTTTAAACTCACGGCCCTCCATTTAGCATCCTGACAAAGCCGCCGGCCAGGGTTCCGAGGGGCCCCAAGCAGTAACCATAGTAGGAGGAAAAAAGAAAACAATATGCAACCAACAATGGGCAATGAAGGAGTGAGGATATCATATTGAAATTATGCTTTATTACCATTTAGATATGCTTTAGCTGTGTGCAGACAGAAAGATACATTTTAATGCATGAGACTCAGGTCATGAATATCACTCTTGGTCAAAAGTGACTCTCAGTCTATGTAAATAGGTTTAACTCAAATTGTGAATAGGTAAAATTGCTTCTAAGCCTTCTTAAAATGCAGCCTTTCTTTTTCTAAACTTGTGGTCTATTTCTACTTCTTTGCTTGCTTACATTTTAAACTTTAAAAGAAAGCGAAAATCCAAAATGACGAGACATGTAACACAATCTATGATTCAAGACTTGAAATGCCAACTCTTATTTACCACAATAAATTCTGTCAGAGCATGCATCATCATTTCAAGGGTCCCTGTAAAAACTAGAACTTTTTTTCATACCTTTGTAAGATTAATTTTAAAGTCAGATGATGGTAAATGGCAAATGTTTATATATTCATAAAGCATTGAAACAAAGTTAAACTTAGCAGCTGAAAAGGTTTATGTTTAAACAAACCTATGGGTAATCATTTCCACTCAGTCTATTATTGTGCTAATTATTGTTCCAGGTCATAGCAGGATTTAATAATGTCGGGCCATGAACTACTCGTTTCTTCCATGTTTTTATTATGTATGTTATGTTTTGTTGATGTAAAGCACTTCGTGACCTTAGTCTGTGACAAGTGCTGTACAAATAAACTTTACTTACTTACTTGAACTAACAAGCTGTCTCCGCTGTGGGAAGCGTGGTTTGAGAGTCTTCCTTTTGATAAATACAAACAAACCTCATCTTTTCATTTGCCATCATGATGCTCTGACTTATGTACAAGGTCGTCCTCACCTTATACAGCGGCTTCGTTGAAAAGCTGTGTAGAATTGTTGTTTATCTGTCTTTTCATAGCCAATCGTTAATATTGCATATATTTCTCATTTCTATTGTTAAATTGTATTATTTCCAAAGACTCCTTTAACTTTTGACCATCAAATTAGGACACCTCTAATTTAAGATAAGCATTTTCTGTCAAGTTTTATTTCCACCTTTCTCTTTGCTCTCTGCATGCATCTCTACCCCAGAGCATGTCCCTGAGTCATAGGTGAAGCACCCACAATGCACAGCCAGAGACAGCCTGACCTTTCACTCCGTATAATAAATCAACACTGCATTCTTGCTTAAGTGGCTTTTTTTTAGTGCTTGGGAATTCATTTTCTTACACTCTAGATGTCCTTGACCCTGGGGTTTTCATGACTGTTTGAGCACCTCATGTACATGTTCAGGTTTTCAAAAGGAGCACACTGCTTTGTTGTCATTACAAAAAAAAGAAATCTGTTATCTTGCTTTTATTCTCGCATACAGCTTTCTCTTTCTTCATCTTAACCCCCAGCTCCTTTTGTTCTCTCTCACCCTGCTTGTCTTCAGTTCTGTATCATAAACTTCAGTAAACTGCAGGTTTCACCCTAAAAGGAACTTTTATTTTCTCAACAAAAGAATCCCTCAAAATACTGAATATGAATGATAAAACGTTGCTCATGTTTGTTTGTTTCTCCTCTGTGATCAGAGTGACATAACGAGTATGATGTGAGACAATGAGTGTTTTTCTTCATTAACCAGAGTTGATGGCTGGGTAGGTTAACCCCTCCTTTGAATACATTATCGAACACATAAAGCTGTCGTAAGGTCCAAAGTCTATAGAGTAGAGGAAAAAATGTTTCTCCAAGTCATTAACCTGGTATAAGAAATTGGTCTTCAACCATCTGAAGAAGACTTTTCTTCTTTGATATGCTAAAAAAAAGGTTGAGTTATTCAGTGCCTAAAAGTTAGTGGAATGCTCCATTCATGAGGCTGTAATCAGGCTCAGTGAGTAGAAATATGGAGGAGAGGAACAGACTTTGTCTACTGCTATTACACCAAAACGTTGTGTTTTAATTGCTAATTACCTGACAATAGCTTTCCATTATTCGTTGCAATTAGCTTTTCCTTGGTGGTCACCTTGTAATCCCAAGCTTTGATGACCTTTTATTTCCATCAGCTCCAAGGATGTCGGCAGGTGTTGTCGGGTGCGCTGCTTTCATATGGTAATTGTTTAGCGCTGATTTACATGGGAAACCACGCTTTGCATCACTGCAAAACCTTGAGTGTGCGCAAACCCCTTAAACACATAACGATAATCTAAAACAATGCCCTTCCCCTCATTGTCAAATGATTAATTAAGTTGTGTCATGTAATTGCCTCAGCACGCCAGCTGCTTTTGATATCAGTAAAATCCCCAGGACTTCCTTCCTCCCATTAAACAGTGTTAAGACGGTGTCTCGCCAACACGCACACTGAGTGGAAGACCTTCTGGGGATCTCCTCAGAAAAAAGTACGATTTTAGAAACATGATTGTGGGGCTGTTGATTCTGCCTTGTCACAGGGCTCAGGCTCTCTTCATTATGTGGCCCTTCAACGCTGGTATGTATGCAAAACATCCTTTGTTTACACATGCTGTCTCTGGCACCGTGTGTGTGCTCAGCGTGCTGTCATAATTTATGACACGCTGCGACTTAATGAAGCCATAAGCCATAATGCATATTCACTAACGTGGTGGGCTGGGCTGGGAAGGGCTGTGGTGATGAGTGCCCAGCCGCTTCAAAATTTACAGAGAAGGCTAACTTCTCACACACGCACACACAGAGGCTTGCCATACATGACTTCAATCTACTACTCACACTGTGTAACTCCTGCTGTTCCTTTTTTTTTTATTAGAACAGATAATAATCATAGTAATCACAGTAAATAAAAAAGGCTTGTCATAATCATTAAAAAAAGATTTCCAAATATCAAATTCAGCAGAGGATTTAATTATAATATTAAATATATCACGTAATTGACAAGCCCTGATTATATTTGAGTTAGGAATCATCTTGTAGCCAACACTAATGAAATTAAGCCAAATATTTTATGTATATTCCAAATAACATTCCCCTCTAGGCTTCCTTAAGAATAAAAAAGGGATATTTATCAGAAACTAATTTTTAATTATTTGTTTTTTTTTTCCAAAGATAAATTTTATTGTCCTAATGTATACGTATCAACCTAGGATTATGTGATCAATAAAACTGTACTTCCATGATGCAAGATCATAAGATTTTCTTAATTAATTGATTGCATCCAATTACATAAATAGGGATTCAATTGCTTGATTGTCTTACATCATGTGATGTAATTCACGCAATATTTACATGAAACTTTTTTTTTAATGTTATTCATATTTTAAAATATCTAGAATGGTTAAAATTGAAAATACAAGTTTTTAATTTGAAGATAAAATGTATATAGAAAAAACTCTCTGCTATAATCATGACATTAACTTTGACAGTATATAAAAGAGATAATTGTTCATCTTACTCATCGACGGCGTGTAATACACTGTTTCATCCGGAGTGTAAAAATGTAATCTGTTCTGCTAGGGCGGTCCCTTCTCCTCCAATAGATCCATTTGTTGGTCCCGGCGCTGTACGCTGACAGATGATAGCTTGAAGTCGTCTCCTTAGTTTGCCAGCTCTATGTGTCACTTTCAAGTCCCATTAGCCACTGGGACATATAGGAACACGCTCTCACAAGTACACACTCACACATCTCCATGGCTGCCTCTAGTGCCCCAATACTGCTGCTATGAATGTCTCTTTTTCTGCTTTTTTTCCTCATTTGACCATTCTTGACTATTGATCCTTGCAGGAGTTTACTGTAATATTTTTTTAATTCATTCATTTCATGAATTGATTAATTTTAAGCTCTGTGTCAGATGCATTTATTTATTTTTCTCCTATTCTCTTACTCTGTCTTTCAGGTTCGGAGCACGGTGAACAGGATTAAGGAGAGAAGAAAAGCGCTTAATTTTTCAGTATGTATTTATTTTTCCCCCTGTGAATTAGGGTGTCTTTGAAACACACTGGTGCATCAGACTCAATTTCCCGTACAGCTTTTGCTTAAAAAAAACTTCAGCATTGAAAAACTGGCCACAAAGCAACATTATACATCTGCTAGCCTCCACTGGTTGACAGTCCATGTTAGATGCCCTTATACATCAAACATAGACCCGCCATAATAGCCCCCCCCCCCCCCCCCCCACCATCCTCACTCTGCCCATTGCAGCACCTTCATCCTAGCAATGTCAAGCTCTGTGGTGGGTTACAAGTTTCTAATCCAGGACAAGCAGTCCCTTGACATTAAAGTGTCAGGCCAGTATTTATACCTTGTTGGACGTAGCTATTTGGCTGAGGTGGTGGGATGCTGCATGTGTATGTGTGCGAGTGTTTGTGTGTATACGAGATAGTCTTCGCAAAGCACTTTCAAAGTACTTAATAGTCTCCAGCGCACACGAACCAGCTCAGACTCACACTCATACAGACAATTATAGACTCTGGCACACAGTCTCATCAGTCCACTCTCCTTTGCCTCACACACACATCCGCACACACAAAATGCATCTTGTCCCCCCATAACTGATAACATTAACTCCACTCCTCTTTGCCCAGTAACTCTTTGTCCTGCCCCTCCCACTGCACCCTGACCCAAGTTTAAGCACTCTCCCAATATTCTTCAACATCAACCTCTTCAGGTCATTGAAGAAGGAATGAAATAATTTCTGACAGCAGAGTGACTTAGAAAAAAATATCCGGGTGCTCCTACTTTTTAACCCCCCACCTCAGAGATGGACACTGTTGGGATGGAAAGAAATGAAATAAATAAGTATAAAAAATTTAATGTGTCTGTGTGTTGGCCGCTTAGGAGTAAAGAGGGGCCCAGGGGCCCCCCTACCACCAGGTGCAGTCTGATATATTGTCTGCTCATGTTATCAGTGAGGCCCCCCCATCTCCCGTCATTTTTACTGCTTCCTCTCCCCTCTGTTGGTGGCAATTTTCCAATCTTGCCGGGTTCCGCTACCAGAATGCGTTTTTTTTTGCCTGACGGTTTTTAGCTAATGCTATTTTGTGCCATAAATCCTGCTTGAAATACTGTATCTACCTGTCCTATGGCTAGATAGGAGACATTTGGCTCTAGATGACCGCACATGCCCCTATATATCCCCATGTTGTAAAACATAGGATTGGGTAGCGTGCCTCGCCAGCTGAGGGATAAAGAGGCTTTGGCGGTGTTACTGCATATGGGGTCATTTGAAGACGAATGGCACTTGTCGGATAGAGGGTTTTATGTGTTGTGTTATTTGCAACCATTGAAGGGTTAATCCAATGGGAAATGATTCCTCCAAATTTGATTAGAGCGTTCGAAGTGGATTTAAAATTTGATCTTTAAAACTTGTTTTGCTTGATAACAAATTTCACAAGCTGAAAGTACTAAGTATGACTTAGGTCAAACGTAGCATACGTGTATTTGGCATTTCAGGAATTATTGAAGGTAATAAAGATTTTTGGTGAAGAAAAAAAACTCTCACTATATTCGAAGAGCACATATCACGTTAGCTTTGTATAAAACCTAACAAAAAACATTGTTATCCTTTAGATATAGGAACAATTAAATTGCATATTATCATTATATTGCTATTGCTACAGTGACATGACACACCCCTGACCTTGAAAACCTCTCGTATAAATTTCCCCAAATCTAATCACACACACTCCCATTTTATATTCCACTCTTGTGTCAACCTTTTCAGCCCTCCTCATTGTAGTTGCCCTCTGCACGGGTATGTGCCTTTTTGGCCCGGGGGGTGGGGTTGTTTACACACACATGCTCACACACTTTGACCAGTGTATCCTGCCTGTTTGATACCAAGTACCTCCTGACCCACCCTGACCTCCCTCTTGTACACACACAGCCAGATTGCTTTGTGAAATAAAGCTGTCACTTGCAGGACCCAAATAAAAAACACCCCCCCCCCCTCCTCAATGCTCTATGCCCCTGACACCACTGAAATATAGATATCAATTGGAAGCAGATTAGTTTTTTTGATCTTAATTCATGTTTGACAACATATAAGAAGATGTGATTCTCTAGAAGCAGTTTTGGAGCAAAAGGGGAAAAACTGAATTTTAATTATATTTTCTTAAATTGACAGTTCAGAAGTTCTACCTATTTTTGTATTTGTTTACCACAAACATAGCTATGGAATATTGACATGCCATAAGTTTTGTCCAGTCAAAGGCTTTAAATAAAATGCTGTATATCTCTGTATCTGAGGCTCATGGTGAGAGAGTTTACAGAACAATAACATAGCAGAGAATGGATTATTCTCTTTCCATTTCAGTGTCTGCTGGCCATATCCACTGGAGCTTGACATCAACAATACACACAAGCAGCCAAAAAAAAGCAGGCCCAAGTGTTTGCCGTGTGAAGCTTTCCTGCCTGTTAGAAGTACAGCAAGAAATTTAAGAGGCCGCAGAGCCTGTTTAAGCCCCCGCAGTCTGTTTGAGAAGTGTGCAAACAAATAGGTTTTCTGTGATTGCCGTTTATTTTGGTCTGGCTGAAAGATGTATGTACATGTGTGGAATGAGGGGTCTCTGAGTGATATCCATGGAGCAGCCGCTCTGGTTTGTTGCAGGAATTGTTTGAAGGAAAATACAGTAGTCTAAAATAGTTCATAACATCTTTTTGTTTCTTAAGTTTATTGTGATTCCTTAGCTTCTTTTGCAGCTTTTTACTCATGAAGATACTCTCCTCTGTTGTTCCAATACAAACTGTTTACTTTAAACTCTTCAATCTTTTATGCTACATTGAAAAACAAAAACACATTACAGCACAAAGTGGTTTAAAGAGAAAAGAGGAACACCTATACACCTATTTGCCCAAAAGTCAGTTTTGAAAGTATGTATGAACCAGATCTGTTTTTACTTCTCAGTTAACAGAAAAGTTGGAAAGTGACCGTGTCCCCTCAGATGGAATGAAATCCTACAGCCATCTCCTGCAGCTGACACAGCCTTCTCATTTCATACAGAACTGTGCCAGTTCCCGACCATCCAGCTCAGTTACCAGCTCTAGGCCTGTCAGTTACCCACTGGGAAGCAGCCCAAGCCAGGATGAGGAGAGCACCCCAACCGACAATAACAGCACCAACCAAGGTTCGGGGAAGGAGGAGGAGAAGACCAGAGGTGAGTCATCAGACCGATAACATACATACTAACTTCATGTAAGGCTCCTTATACAGGTTTTTTTTGTAAACAGGTTAATGAAGGATTATAAATGTTTATGTATATGTCAAGCACGACTCCAGGATTCCAATTTTGGATGGTCCCATGTCAAAAGTTTAAAGTGTGTCCCCTTCTTACAGCTCTATTTTCTAAACTTTTAAAGAACATGCTTGTGATGTTTCTCTGAAACATTTGTGATACAGAGAAAGACTTTTATTCACCTGCCAACCACTCATATATTGATTGCCACACAAGTAAAACATGCTGTCCTTTTTTTACCAATGCTAAATTAAGGATCAGTAAATGAAAGGTAAACTACCGCACACTGTCTAACTTGCAAACACACATGTATTGGAAACGTGTCGGTACTAGACCTTCATCAGGCAACAAGTCTAGTTGCCTGTTTACCTTTCAGTTTTTGATGGACACATTGCTGTCCTACGCACCTGTCTTGTGAAATAGATGTGCGAAGGTTTTTTCTATTTTAAATGAATGATCAATAAAAGTAATTGCGGTATCCTCTTAATTTTTTCTATGGATGGTCAAGACCAATACATATTCAATACACTGTCATGTAACTTATATTAAAAAGAAAAAAAATGTTTTACAACCTTGATGGATTAATGTTTATGCTGATAGTGGGGAGGGAGATTGCTATTTAAATGAGAGAGAGCAGTATTTATGTGCTTTCAAGACAAATAGAGACAAAAGGACAGTCTGCACTACCTTCTGAATTTTCCTGTTGTTTTCTAGGATTTGTCAGTCCCAGGCTAGGCTATGAAAAAATAGATGTGACTCTCTCACAAGCTGTACCGTTTACTGTGGTTGAGATGGATGAGGGAAAGATGGACATACATCCTTGAGAAATTTACTGACTTTTTACCTGGGTGATAATTGAGTCCCTGTCTTCCACATGTAGCCCTCTCTCTGCCCCACTTCTCTCTGAACCCTCTTTCCAGCAAGGAGCCATCTGCTGCTCAGCAGAGTAACATGTCGTGTGCGAGCATGCCCATCCTAGTTTAACAAACCTGGGTAGCGTCTGATTTGGTTGGTCATTCAAGACTTCTATAAAAGAAAAGTATCTCTTTGCATTTTTTGAAGGGCGATCTGTATTTTAGGTTTTAAATTGCATTCAAATACCAAATATGAATCCATAAAAGTACAAGTAAGGAAAGTCTATATTTTATATTATACTTAGAGGTACTGTCATATTTAGCCAACCTTTATTGATAAAGGTGGGTGGTCAAAAAATTAGATACTCTGTATCCTCACAATTGTCATGAAGTTGAATTAGGTTTAAGCTCAGTATGTAAACTCCCCTCACTGTTACCCCTCTTGCATATCTGCAAGGCATTACTGCAAGGCTCTCTGAAACAGAGCCACAGCTGGCTTATTGAGTGAAATCAGACATCAGAAATCTCCTGTTAAACTTCAACACTAACCAGACACCCTGGCTGCAATCTAGCTGTGTGACCCATGCTGCACTCAGCAAAGTTAAGAGTCATTTTGCTGTGGAAAAGATTGGAGACACCAATTTCAAAGTAGGGAAAGAAAGATGGAGAGGGAGATTTCCTGTTTTGTTCTGTATTTAAAAGAACAGCGCTCTTTCTGAAGCTATTGGTAACACAATTATTATTTTACAGTATTAAATAAGTTTGTTTAATAACAACAATTATTTTACAAAAGTGAAATGGGATAAAAAATAATGTCTGGGAAATAAATCTATGCACATTTGTCTTGTTTTGTAATTTTAGTTTCAGCACCAATGATATGGACCAATTCTCAATGTTGTCTTCATCAGTGTGAGTCATGGTTTATGACTTTTATAATAATGATGTACACATGTTAATAGTGCATGAGTTATAGTGCCTCGTTGCCACCCTGTGCACCTATCAGACTGTGATTTACTGCGTGTTTCTTTGCAGGGGATTTGCATGGTCCTCAACACTATTACTGCCACCATCAATGTTTCATACACTCAGTCAGCCTGCAGTGGTTAAATCAGTCTCAACGTCACAGTTAACACCAAAAGTTCACTCCAGAAATCACTTTGTGTTGAAATGATTTATTTTAAGATCATGTTTTTGAGACCAGTTGATGTGTCTTCAACCAGCTTCAGACTCAATGCAAATGTACACTAATGCTGCTGAATGTGTGGGAGCTCTCTATAACACTAGAACTAATCATCATGAGTAACCCAACTCATCAAGTTGGATTATGTTTGATTCATAATTTATTAAATCAATTGATACATCTTTTCACAGTATCTGAATACCTTGACACGTTAACTCTTTTGCTTTGTTTGCCATTCTTGATCAAATAGATTTCTACATTAAAAAGATAGAGGGAAAAACTAGATGCTAGAAGTAAAACCTTCATTTGACTGCATACTCAACATATGGAATAGTATGTCCTACTATAAAGCATTATAAACAAGCAGATGTGCCCCATTTTTTTGCTAACAATAACCACAGCCTCTCCTCTGTCTGAGATAGTGGTAGCTTGCAATGTACAAGGTCAACTCAATCTGTGGTAGGGCTGGGAGTGTTCTGCTTTTGATACCTTTATGCCTTTTCCATCTTTCTGTTTGTTCAAGTTGGTTGGCACAAATGTCCAAGGCAGGCAGTGGGTTATGTTGAAAGTACATGGTGAAAAATGTGAACAAAGTAAAGCACATATTTGCTGTGAGCACAAGAGAAGGACAAGTGCATAATGAAGGGATGAAAGAGGAATAGGGGGTGAAGTGTGGGTGCATTTGGATTGAAAGGGGAAGGGTTGTGTGCCTGTTTTTCTATGTGCATGAGTGTTGTATTCCTGATGAGATGGCCCCACACAATGGCTAAGTTGAAGGTTGCGAGCCCTTTAAGAAGGAATAATATGCTGGGTCACAAGTGTTACCTCACGTCATCGTCTTGATTTGTTAAAGCCCCCTTCTCAACATGTACAAACAGCCAAGCAGTCGTCTTTCTTTTATGCTTCATGTTTGGAATTCAAAGGTCACTGAGTTTTCAATTGAGGTCTCTGCTTTAATCTTTTTTGACTAGACTTCATGTTTTTTTCCCCAAGTACAGTGTGAGTGTGTCATGATGTTTCATGTCCAATCTGGGGAATAATTAAATCATTTCCATTGTATCATTGGGGTGACACTTGTTGTAAATGTCTTTCATATCTTCTGTCTTCTATCGCATATCTGTGGTGTGACTTTGATGTTAATCACCTTCAATTTCAGTTAGAGCGTTAGATTGACTGTCGGTTTGGTATTTTAAGAAATAACGAGAAAGAACATTTTTTTTTTTTGCAAAATTATGAAGTTCTCACAAGCTCATTGTAGCGAACCTTATTTCTGGTGTCATTACCAGTTTTTGTAACCCAACTTGTAGGAACCATATGCCTGCACATTGCTGACATCTGACACGCCTTCCCCTTCCTCTTCTGCTAACATGTGTTTCTCAAAACCCTTGCAATTAGGGGCCTTGCAGATAAAGTAGTGTGGCGGTCTATTGCATGCATCTTCTGCAGATTACAGCCAGATACAATGCTGACACCAACATGGGGTACACTCCCCGTTAACTATCCACACACATCACTTGTCATGCATGTTTAGCCATGTTCATTGACATGCAACAGGATCCCCTGCTCCAAAGGAAATATTCCTGTGTGTAATGACAGCATGTATGCATTTCATCTGGGTGCTTGCTGTTAAATCTCTATTTGCAAATCGACTTTGGTGGACCATGAACTATGAGTGTGTTTGTGCAATAAATTACCTAAAGATCATCAAATGGAATTACAAGTGATAATGTTTGGAATAAATGTTAGCACTTTCAGAAGATATTTACACACAAGAAATCGGATTTGTTGAAGAAGGTAAAAACAGTTTATTATAACCGTATTTTTCATTTCTGAGATGATATTTGATGTAGTACTGTCCTACAGCAAAATTCGACTCTGTGTGAATTGACATCACATTGATAATCACACAGCAGAATCACAGGTTCTGTGTTCGTGTGACAAAAAGGTATCTAGCCTCTGAGCAGCAGCTTATGTTCAGTGTCTCTCTGATGCAAAGTGATGTGTACTAATTCTACATCTGCTCAAACCAAACAGGACTCAAAAGTTCAGCCAAGTCCCAAAAAAAGACTTCCTCTGAACTTATCTTCCCCTGCTCCCTGACTATGCAATAATTAAACGTGCTACAATTTCCCTGCATCCTTTTTGTATTTAGAGGTGATTGACAAGTAAGTGGATTCATCTTTGGGGTTGTGTGTGTTTTAGTGAAGATTCAGATTTGGTTGGTTGGCTGGGCTGTTTAGAGAGTACATGGTCATGAAATAGGCTCCTGTCATGTGGGCTAAAGCTTTTGAGGACTTGATTGTAGCCTCACAGTGTAAATACTCAAACAAACAGGCAGTGGTCAAAATGTGCTGTCGGTTTGCCATGTATTTACATTCCTTCTTCACTCCCATTTGGTTTCTCTCACTCTTTCTGCCTCTTGGATCAGATTCTTTAATTTTGTATTTACTTTCTAGCTTTCCTTTAGTCTTTCTGTTGCCTCCTCTCTTTCTCTGACATGCAACACTTCCATTCCCTTCATTCCCCCAGATTGTGATAGATGTTTGTCATATTTATGGTTCTGATTGTAATGTCTTCACTAGTGGGAAAACTGTTACAGGAATCAAGATTTAAATTGTCAGCTAAAGCACTTCTCTACCATTTCTCTTTGTTGTTTGAAAAATGGAATATACATCGGTAGATCATATGAAACTCTTTAAACGACTGCCTGTTCGTTACTCATGCTGCGTTCTTGCATTTCGTATTCATCACGACCAATGAAACAAATCCAAAGATGAAATATTGAGTCCATTTGGTTTTTCTTAAGTGGCTTTAAGCGCAACTGTTTATGCATATTCGCCCAGCCACTGCAAAGCACACTAGGCTCCTCAGATTTGTTTTCCGCAGCT